CTGATGACTCGGGCTCTGCAAACCTTCCTCTGGCCCCTCACAACCCTCTCAAGTATGGTACACCTGAAACACACTTCAAGTTTGCTGCCTGGCAGGTTTTACATGGTTATATAAAATAATTTTATTTTAAATAAATTATCTTCAGTTTGTTGGTTTATCATCTAGTTAAAATTTATGAAGCATCAATTTTATATGGAAACACCATGTAAATGCTGGGATTCAACAATGAGTTTTCTGTCTGGTAATGTAGGAGTTTGGGGGACAGATGGTCTTAAGATCAGGACGTGTTTCCTGATTTCATTTCATTGCATGTAACTTGCAGGTAGTAAGCCCAAATGCCTTCTGTTTGCAATATAAAGTGTGTCTACAAAAATAAGTACAGTCTGAACATTGGAACAGTCTCATTGCATAGGGAACCAGGAGGTGTGAATCTGCTGCCAGCAGCGTTCATGATCCAGGCCTTGGTTTCTTGATTCTACTAAGGTGGCGGCTTGTAAACAGAGTAGTATGCATCTCACAGCCTCTGTCCTTTCACACACCTCATCTAGGAGTCAGTTTGGGCTTTTTAGATGTGTCACTTGGTATCATTTCTCTAAGCATGGCCTTTCGAGGGAGGCAAATGTGGAAAGTTATAAACTCTAGACCGAAGAAATTAGAAAGACATTCAGGTTCTAATATCTTTACTACCTTATTTGTTTTTTCTTTTTCTTTTTATCACAGTAAGATCAAAACTTTTCTCAAACACTAGCTGTCACACCATCATCATATAATCCTTCCTGTTTGTGATATTGCTCATTTAGCTAAAAATGTAAGATCACATTCTAACTTTATTATAAACTTAAATTTTAACAAAACTGACTTCTAGACTCCCAGCTTGTCTTACACTTACGTCTCTTGATTGAAAGCACTCACGCTGACCAGTATATTCCTGTCTGACGTGTTAGCTGGAATAACACTCTTGCGGTTAGTGTTTATGCTGCCTGGTTGCTTCATTTATATTCAGCTGCTCCTTCCAGCTCTTCTGCTTGGGAATTAGAAAAGTTATTTATATAACACCCAAGGATATAAAAGTTACAACCAGATTGTATCTCAAATTTAAAAACAGTTGCATTGGGGAGTTTTAAGTACAAGTTTGTTTGTGATCTTACTTTAATCTTTAGTTCAATTTTTTGTTCCTAATCACAAATGGATCTTCGTTGTCTCTGAGAAGTTCATAATCTGTGCCTTCCAACTATATATCCCCTGATTCTTTCTGGGACTTTCAAATCTTTGCTTTTAAACCATACTTTTGATTGGAGTAATTGCTTAAAATAGTGTCTGTTATAAAATTAATAAAATATAGATTATTAACTGCGCTTAAATGACAAGGTCTTCCATGGCTCAGTACCAGTTCCTGCCTGGAACCATGAGCTACACAGGCCCAGGGCAAGGATGACTATTTGTGCAGATGATACATTATGCTGCCCAGATGTCTCTTCAAGATTGAGACTCTTGTTGCCCTAGCTGCCGAGAAGAATGTTGACTGGTGAAGGCTCCTAGCTAGGTCCCTCTGTGCTAATTATCACCTGAATGAAAATACTTGAAGCAAAGTCACACTTCTTCCTTGGGGATCATCTTGCATCCACTGACAGATAGGTGCAGCTATGAAGGCTCTTGCCACTAGCTTCATGGAAGGACAATTCTGCATGTCAGTGGCAGCCATCAAATCCCCCATCTAGGTCTTGGTGGTAGCTACATCATAGATCTCACCTTGCTGTTTGTTTAATCTCCCAAAGATGCTGATCACTAGGGTACTGCTCAGTAACTTCCAGTGTGCAAAGTTGTCTCAGGATCTATTTTACAGGTGACACCTTCTCAGACTAGAGTTTCATGGGGAGAGAGAAGAGAGATCACTATTTGGCCATGTAGATGCCATAGGGAAAGCATCCCATGAGCAACTCTATGGTAGCAGAGAATGTAACTTATTTTAGCACAGCAGGAGGAGGATTAGGAAAGATTTCTTTTTCAGAATAAGTGGACTTGGAGATTCATTTGCAAAAATAAGATATTTTCTAGGAAAAGAAAAATGAAAAGGGAGCTCAGGATGGTGGCTAAAAGATAAAGCCCACATGTGAGATTAATGGGAATGAGAGCCAAGTCACAAAGCACATCCTTGATTGTAAGGATCCCCAGGCTGTAGTGTGCCCTTCTGCTGTCTGCCCACCTGTCAGACATGTTACCTGTTCCACATAGATGTGACCTGAACAGACTTAAAGGCATTTCTCCCCCAATGATACTAATGAAGTCTGTTTTCTTCAAAACTGCTATTCTACATTCCATTCTATTCTACTTTGGAAAAGCTTGACATGTACATGAAGAGCCCATCTCTTGAAATAACCACATATAAAAAGATTAAAGCATCTCATTGTTGGAAATAAAATTATGATTAGAAATTGCTAAAGGTTTAAAGTAGGGAGAGAGAGTAAACATGGGAAGCCCACTTTCAAACCTCTGTCAAGGGATTTTCCATTTGTTTCTAGTACCTATCTGGTAGTAGGAAATTGACCATTTCTTGTGTTAGTAAATAACTACAAAACTGAAGAATTGGGATTAATCATTTTACTATTGAGAAACCTGAAATCTGAATCATACAGAAGAAATATATACATATGATTATACAGTAGGTATTGTCAAAGCATGTTCTTTATGTTGCATATGGTATCCTTGTTATGGCTGTAAATGAGTTTGCCAGACCTCCAAATAGCCAGGAGTCAGAAAAGTAGAAGTGCCAGCCTCAAGTGCCCTCATGAGTTCAGTGACCCAGTTAACCAGTCACCTCTAAGTCTGTCCTCACCTGAGAAGTGACAGGCTGGACTAGAGGTAATGCTAGAACCCTCCACCCTGACAATGTGAAAGAGGAACAGAGGTGTATAGTAAAGGAAGTTGTTTAATGAAGGTTAAGGTACTCTTTATGTCCAAACCAGCTCCTTTTTTTTTTTTTTTTTTCTGATTTTTGAGACATTTTTCATGAGGTTAATTTTAGGCATATTTAAAGCTTGTTTTCATTGTAGAACTCTCCAGATTACCCATCCTGTGAATAGAGCACTCACAGACCATAATGCTTTCCCTTAGAAACTGGCTAAGCCTTTTTGTTACTCTGAGCCAGGCCTCAGCACAAACAAATATGCTCTCCGGTCTTGCATTTTCTGGTTTATTCAACTCCATTATAGACTGGGTTTAAGTAGCAAAAAAAGTTAAACCTCAGAGAAGGAAAACAGAAGCCCTAGGAAGATGATTTACCTCAGATCACCAGGGGAGAAAAGAAGCAGGGCTGTCATTTTCCAGACTGTCATCGGCCTCAGAATTTCATCCTGTAAACCTCTGCTATTTTAATTTCACCACTTCAAGATGGGGGGAAAGTAGCTTAATGGTGTCCTTGAGTTTAGACTCTGACCAGTGGCAGCCACAGAATCTCAAGCAGCTGCAACTCATGGAGAGGATGATGATGGATTTACCAGTTCATCTTGGGATGAATCAAGACTTGGAGACAGTGGACCAGTGCTGTGCTCCCATGGTGGAGTTAAACAATATTTCTTCACGCATTCTTTCTGTAGCCATTCATCCCCAGCTTGTTTTTATAGCAAGAAGTCTACTGGGACAGAGAAATGCATTCTTAAGAAGCACTGCCTTTCTTTAATGAAATGACAATATATTGTAAAGTAATGAGATATATACGTTCAGGTTGGTCATCAAAGAGCCTTTTGAGCTGTATATTGGAAGGTCAGAATGGCAAATTGTCACAGTTCATGTAATCAAAGCCGAGAGACAAAGTTGGCTATTTCCCGGTGGTGGATGAGAGTGAATGCCTGGCTTGGATGTGATGAGGAGATGAGCCTGGAGAGAGAGGTCAAATGGCATTGAGGGAATTCACTCTATACTATGGTTTTCATGAAGGTTTTGTTCAGAAAAATGCCTGGTCCCATGCATGTTTCAGGAAGCATTTTGGGCATCCTTGTAGAGGCAAAGGGGGTTATTTCAGGAGATAAACGAAGAAGCCAATGCCAAAGAGTTGCCTTGGGTCAGTTTACAGGACACTTGTTACCTCAGTACAAGCCCATCTTACCTCAGGGCATCTGAAGACCTCACAGTAAGACAGCAGTGTCTCCTTAATTCCCATGCTCCATCCATGACTGTGTCTTCCTGTTGATGTCTACACCCTACGTTGATTCCAGATTCTACTGAGTCACTTCAGATACTTCATTTGAGAATAACACATATCACATGTGGAAAAAAATTAGTTGAGACACAGTCTGAGGCAGGGTTAACAGCTGGACCATTTGAATGCTGACTTGCTGAATAATAAGATCTTAAGGTTCATAAACATCCCTAAGGCTCAGCATATTTTCAAAGCCAGGTAAATCCAATTTCTTAGTTTACTTTTTACAACCCAACCACCACTTTATGTTCAGCATTCCTATCAGAGGTTCATTCAGCCTGAATTTTGGGGTTTTAAATGGGAGCTTTGATTTGGGCTCTACGAAGGGGTATACACTGTTGAAGTCATTATAAAGATAAAAAGTTAGGGGCCTCAGTGACCCTACTGGGTCTTTAACATTGAGTCATGTTTTACTTGTAACAGTAAAACAGTTTTCTAAGTACAGTACCTGGGTGATGTAGTTCAGCAAACACAACCAGCCTACCGCCTGTTCTTATAAATAAAGCTTTATGAAATTACAGGTCCTTTGTTTTTGTGTGCTTAGAGGCAGCCTTTGCCCTAAGCGGGTAAATTGAGTGGTTAGTAACACAGGTCCTTATTATCTGAACCTTTACTGAAAACTGTGTCGTCTCTTTTGGTGATACCAAAAGGAATGCCATAGACAGTGGGTATTGTCTCTGGCAGATCCCCTCTGACCTGCCTGTGCACATCATTCCCGCTGATGCTACCCACTGCCCTCCCTAGATTGTTGTGATACACACTGGAGCCATGGTGTTCTGCTGACCCGTTTTCTTTCTTTCCTCAGAATACGCTGGAACAGTGCAGTGTGTGTTCCAAGCCCATCATGGAGCGCATCCTCCGTGCCACTGGCAAGGCCTACCATCCTCACTGCTTCACCTGTGTGATGTGCCACCGCAGCCTGGATGGCATCCCATTTACCGTAGATGCCTGCGGCCTCATTCATTGCATCGAGGACTTCCACAAGTAAGTAACCACTCTCACCTCCAACCTGCCAGTCCTCTTGAAGTCTGCTCTTGTCATCTGCCACTGGCCATGTTTCTTTTTGAGCTATATATATTCCAGTTTCTAGGGATGTATTCAGAGAGTTATCTCCAGGGCAGGGACTGACATTTGGGGATCCCTGTCGTTATCTAACTTATTCTCTATTCAGAACTTCTCTGCAACCGGTCATGATAACTTTGTGTGGCTATAGATATGGGCAAGCCGACTCAGTTGGACAAGAGCCATGGCATTTGGCAAGTTGCATAACTTCTCCCAGTTCTTCAGTTTAGTTATCTGACCAGAGCTTGACCCAATGGTCTCTTAACTGTGACAACCTCAGCACCCTTGTTAGTGTACAAGTAGGAGGTGCTCCTAGAAAGGTGCAGAGATGCAGACAGCTATTCTGTCACACAGTTCCAGTGTGAAAAGCAGCTCTGTGCCATCGCCAACATATGCATGTCCCCCCCTTAGCCTCCTCTCCACCAAGGTCTTGTGTGCCTCGATACCCTTTCCAAGGACATTGTTAGTGCAGTATTTGTTGTGCAGCATTCTGAGAAGGATCAGAAGGCAAATTCTCAGGACCAAGTCTACTGAACCACAGGTGGGTCTAGAAACATGATTCCCCTTCTTTGTGGCTCCAATTTTATAGTCCCTCTTTCCTCCATTATAGGAAGTTTTGAGAAAATGACAGCTTTGTGTTTTTCTTAATTTTTGCCGGTTAGCTGGCTACCAGGTTCATCACATCAGAGCCCATGTTTATTATGGGCTGGGCTGTGTGGAGAGCTGCAGGTATGACTTGCTAATGAGCCAGGGTGGCCTCCTTGCTTCCGTTCACTGGGCAGTCACTGTAAGAGTGGTTTGTAAGGTCCCCAAAAGATGAAGCACATTGCTGACCACTTTGGGCTCCGCTCTGGGACTCAAGACAGGCTGTGGGTTTCTCTCACCACTGTTGATTGTCAACATCCAGAAGGGACTTTCCACAAGCAGTTTGGGGACCTAAGACTCATATTTTTAAAATGAATTTCCTGACCACTCTCCCAAGGAGCAGTGAAAGGAAAAAACCTCCCCAAAAGACATGAGGCTGAATGAATTAAAAAACAAAAAACAAAACAAAACAAAAAAAAAAAAAAAAAAAACCACAGAAGCAGAAATTTTCAACCTCAATTACATGAGAAAAGACCCTGCTTTTAAAGGGCAGTCACAGCATAAATTGTACTTCACGTTATTGCTATTTTTAGCTTGTAATAATTACACATAAAAAAAATACCTTGCATCTATTTAAGGGATGTGAAAAGATACCAACAGGGGGTGTTTTTCTGTCACCATCTCTCTCCTCTTCGGGACTTTCAACAATGCAAGAAAGACAGGTAGATGTCAGCAGTGCGCACACGTTTGTGTTGTGGGGAAAGCCTGAGCTATTATACCCCTCAATTAAAAGAGGAAATCAGTTCTGACACATGTAAGTTTGTGTTTCTGCCACTTATCGTTCATTTCTACTGGTGGGCAGCATAATTAGAGACTTGCAAGGAGTGGCATAAGCATGTAGATCTGAACACTGAAAAAGCAGCCTTGAGCAACTGAAAGGGGGGAGGGAACATATATCTCAAGCCCCAACCCTCTCCCCTTTTCAATGCACATGAAAAGAAACATCTTTTTAAAAAACTGTCATCTGCACAATTAACAGATATGGCGGGGGTGGCTTTTGGATACCACTCTTCAGTGGAAGGGAAATAAAAGAACATTTTCCAGAGCATGTATCACTTACCTTAGAAAGTACTAGAATACAGAGTGGCTAACCTTCCACCATGGAGTGCTAGCCTTCCAACATGGGGTGTGTACTGCACAGCCAGGGCAACCAACAAAGGGGCAGAGAAAACTTCTCTTCTTTCGGGAAGCTTCTTAGCTTTTCCTGAATGGGTCTCCATTGTGGGTTTTTAGAAAACACCTTTTAGTTTAATTCTCACATTCACAAACTTCGCTCTATGTGCTGGTAGCTGCAATTAGTACTGAAGGAGACACTGGGCACAGAGAGCCGGATGGAGGTAGTTGTCAATGCTGGACTTGTGGAAGGAGGCAGAGTATGCCAGCATAACGGGGTACAGGGCAGAAAGGGCAGAACCCGGAGGTATGCCCAAGAAAATCTGCCCTGTCTTCTTCAGAACTAATCATTTGACTCTGGGATTCAGACAGTTCTCATGCAAGCAGAACTGGAAGTGTGCTATGAAGATGGGTGAGAAATGGGGTGGCTGATGAGGATATAGGGGTTGACTCTTGGCACAGCCTCTAAAATGGCATCTCAGACACTTGAAGGGCAGAATCTTGAGCCTTAGCAAATGGGCCATTTCCATATAAATACCTTTGGTTAAGGTTGACTCAAGTCCTACAGCCCACTGGGAACTGAACTCTTTTGTAGACATGATCGCCAGTAACTAATGAGAACTCCCTTGTAGGGGGACTATTTTAGGCCCTGTATACAAGTATGTGAGAGTAGGCAGTGTACAGACATGGATGGACACATATGGGGACTTACACAGGGAAACACATACACACACTCCTTCCTCATATTTCCTCCATGGCTGTCTTTAAAGGCTAAACCTATTATCTATTTTAGTACGACGTCTTTGATTTTTGCCTCTCTTTATATCCCCAGTTATGAATTCTTGCCACCTTTATATTTGAGTAATTTTGTAAGTCAATCATAGTGTTTCCTGCTTTATAATGAACTATACAAGTGAACAGTTTTTTTTACAGTAACCAGCTTAGATAATTTTTGCAAGAAGGTAGACTAGATATACAAGTTTACAACAAATACAGAGCATGAAGAATTCCCCACCAGGTCTTTGCTGGAATCTCTTTGAGTCCATGTTTCTTGTGCCAGGAGAGTGGGCTTACACTGCTCTTTTTAGTGTGTGAGGCATACACAGTGTGATCTGTGCTTTCTTGGCTGAGGTGTCATGTACAGTGTTAGTCAGGCTTCCTGTCCCTAGGACAAATACCCGAGGAGGAAAGGGCTATTTGAGCATGTGGTTTTCAGAATTTTTGGTCCACAGTAAGCAGGTTCTCTGTTTCTGAACCTGCAGTGGGGCAGTATATAGTGGAGGAAAGGTATAATTGAACAAAGCTAATCACCTCATGGCTGCCAGGGACAAGATGTGCCCTTGAAAGGTATGTTGTCATGATCTGCTTCCTCTAAATAGCTGGTGTCCTACATCTCCACCACATCCTGATAACGTCATTACACTATGACTCTAATAATGGAGGAATCTGCTGAAGTCAAAGATGTCACAATCCAGTCACCTCCCAGAGGTTCATCAGCTGGCAACTAAGTGTCAAGTAGTTGAGCCTGAAGGGAATACTTTGTGGCCAAGCTATAGCACTGATCCATTTGGTTGTTTAATTTAGCATTCAATCGCTAATTTGCCAAAAATATGTTGCATATGGAATGACTAGGTTCATGGCTCCCTTGACTGAAGAATAAAAATAATAAAAATACTTCCTCATAATGTAGCCATCAACAGAAAATAATAACATGTGTACAGAGCCTAATAGAACTTAGCATGTAACAAGCACTTAATAAACAGTAACCATCAAAACTGTTTTCACGTCATCATTATAATCATCATCATCATCATTATTATTATTATCCACTACTGAAAAGCACCACCTCAGATCATGTAGCCACAGTGAGAGCTCCTGCCTTGCTATGTTGCTAAGGAAGAGGGATTGGTTAGTGAGAACGTAGTTTCAGGCTGTCTAGAGAAGGGCCATGAGACCAGACATAAAATCTATTAGCACCTTCTCACGGAAAAGGATAGCAGGTGTTTCATGTCATCAGGTATTGCTCAGATTCCTCCCGTGTGAACCAATATAGTGGTCACCAGAAATAATTACTACCAAAACAGGTAAAGTACAAAAAGAAAAGGAGAAATCATATCCCAGAGGATTACATCTATGGGAAAACTGGAGGAGGCTTGGGCTACTTCTGCCCTCACAATATCCTCCTTGTAGCTGGGGAAAGGAAGTTTTGCAGTTGATAACAGAAGTCTGCGAATTTTACTACTGATAACCCAGATTCAAAAATAATCAGGTAATCCGAAGCAATTTTTGCCACTGAATATAAACTTCTTGCATAAAATATCAATTATAACTACCCTGATTACTACTGCAGTTGTACCATGATCCTCTTAATTTTTCTTTCACAGCAATCAATCGATCTGCTACTTAATTCATATTTATTTAGATTACAGCCATACAGATGCCTTTTGGGTGCTGCCAGGAAAATTAAAATGTACATACAGAGTATAATGTATGTAAAAATGCTTTGACAGCCGTGCAGTGCTCTGCACAGTATTAGATTACTATCATTATTTCCTTTTAAGTCTTACTACAAGTAGATAAATTTTAAAATCATTAATCTTAAAACCATTAGCATGAAAAACTTCAGTAACTTACTCAGTATCTCTATATATCCCTTTGTCTCTCATTTGTTTTTAGTTCTTTATATAGGAGCCCACTCGGTAGCCCAATCTAGGTTGGAACTTAGGGTGATCCTCCTGCCTCAGCCTCTCCAGTACTAGGATATCATGTGTTGGTTCTATGTATCTTTTAATGTTTTTCTTCAGTTCTTATCTGTGTCCATTCCAATTATGCCTCATTTTACACCTTCACAAATGCTATCCTTAAATTCTAGAAAATAAAAATGGATTCATAGCCCATTTTTTTTCAGCCTGCTAATCTTTAAGACAACAGGTTCTGTTAGTGAATAACAATAAATTAAGAAATATATTTCTGGGCATTGGTGGTACATGCCTTTAATCCCAGCACTTGGAAGGCAAAGGTGGGCAGATCTCTGTGAGTTCGAGCCCAGCCTGGTCTACAGAGCTAGTTCTGGGAGAGGCTCCAAAGCAATATAGAAAAATTTTTTCTCAAAAAAAAATTTAAAAAAAAAAGAAATATCTTAATGTTCATATATTAATGTCCTTCACCAATAGCTTCAAACATATGTGTATTATAGACTTTGATCATGCTAAAATTCCTTTTACAGACAAAATGTAAGTAATGTGTACTTTGCCATTGTGAGTTTTTCATAAAATATATAGTAAGACCACCAACCTCTGCCATTTGGTAATACCTGTGAGTTTGAAGCTTCTTATGGCCTAGAATTGAACACACATTTTTAAAGAAAAAAGATGCAGACATTCCTAATTGCACAATTTGTCTAGGGCACAAGGAAGGCACACTAACATTTAGAAGTAACTCAGAGGATAATGAGAACCTGCCAGGACTTTGGCGATCCTGGTTCAGACAGGACCTTGTTTTCTGTATTCAGCTAGATCATACCTAGGAACTAGTGTGGTTCTGTGTACAGGATTGCTGCATATTACATGCTGCCTGCTAAAGAGTCTCTCTAAACAAAGCAGTTCAAGCCCTCTTCCCAGCTCATACCTTCTTCCCTGTCAAATACATAGCATGCACCCTCTGTAGAGGCCTCTTACTGTCTCACTTTCTTTAGGTCAAGGTCACACAGGACATACAGACCAGGTGTCATCCTGTGGGGTTAGCTGTGCCCTTCTCCATCTGCATCTATACTTGACATCTCACCAGAATTCTGTCTATCTTCAGGAAATTTGCCCCACGCTGTTCTGTGTGCAAGGAGCCTATCATGCCTGCCCCAGGCCAGGAGGAGACCGTCCGCATCGTGGCTCTGGATCGTGATTTCCACGTGCACTGCTACCGCTGTGAGGTGTGTGGTATCCCTAAGTCAGAGGAATCGTGAAAGCTGGAGACCTTGGTGCCTAACAAAGACCTTAGTGTTAACAGACAGGATTCAGCTCTGACACAGGCAGTTAATGCAGTGACATCACACAACTTACCACACTTGGCATAGACACCCTCTGTACAGATGCTTCACATTCTTACCTATTCAGATGTGACTATAAGACCACAACACAAAATTACATGTCTTAGGACAGTGTAAACTATTAAGCTAGACAAAAGGTGGTGATGATGAATCTGTAGCTAATGATTGGGTTAACTCCTTCATTGGGCAGAGAGGCCATTATCACCCATTGATAAAGACAAGAATTCATTCATTTCAGAGTTGCAGGAACTTCCCATTCAGAGTCATAGAGATTCATTTATACAGTAGTTAGCTTCCAAGTGTCACTTAAGAAGTCACAGCTGCTAAGAGCTAAGGGTCAGCCACAGGATGCTGTGAGAATCCATAAGGCACACCCATATCCAGCCTAGAAGTGAGAAAGGAAGCTTAATCTGACACTATGGCACATACAGCCATTACCGCAGCAAAGGACAAGGGGGCCTTTGCCTCATCATGTGACTTTTAAAAGAACAGTACATTGAGAAAATGGTTTTTAAATATTTTACCTTCTTCTATGAGTTACTTAGTCCTCTCCTTCCAAACATCGTTCTTTGTCATTACCAACTTTTGTGAATGTGGCACTTTCCTGCCCCTCCTCTTCCCTGGGTGGGATGCAGACTCTCTCACCCCCTTGTCCTCATAGTCCAACTAAAAGAAGCCTGAGAATACAAGCTAGCAAGGCTCTGGGGCCCCAGAGAATTTGTCCACTCCATTCACTGCCTTGCCTGTAACTGACCATCTGTTTTTGCACTGTGCTTTGTTCCGCCATAAAGCCCAGGTTATATGCTCCTCACCAAGCTTAACAAGGGGGAGGGGGAGGGGGAGAAAGGAAGAGAGAGAAAGGGAGAGAGAGAGACTTGAAACTGCCATCTATGAATGACGTTATTGTGACTTGCAATAATTTTATTGTTTAGTTCCATTACTCAGTTCCTGAAGACATCTCAAAGTACAATATATCACTGGTTCTTTCTGGCAAAGCCAAACTTCCGGTGAAGCATAATTGTGTCTGCCGTTGTACTTTGGGTCAGCCCTGTTTATTCTAAGAGTTTATTATTTGTCAGCTCTAGACATGGCTTCATTCATCTCCTTGCCACTCTTAGAGAGCAGAGTGGGGGGGGGGGTTGCAGCCATCACAGCCTGTGACAGCTCTCCAAGTGAGCAGGGCACACAATGCTAAATATGGCTCTGTTTGTTTTCCAAGCAAATTGCATTTCTTCTAAAGTCAAGAGCTGCCATTCAGTGTTCCCTAACACTTTCCACCCCTCATTTTCTATAGAGTACATTCACATCCATTGTCTGTTTTGACCATCCCAAAAACCTGATAAGGAAGAAATGCCCTTATTTTCAGAATGGCATTCAGTCTTGGGTACAGCCTGTACAGACAGTGACAAACCCAACAGTAGCACCCAGGGAACTTGTCTCCCATTATAAAATGTGTCTCTCTCCACTGTGTTATCCCTTTGGAAAAGCATGACAAACTATTAGTCCTCCCCACCCTTGCAAATTTTGTCCTTGCTACATTCATGTAAAGCTACAAAGCCATTGTTTGTCTTGTTACATGACAGAAACCACTTTTTAAATTTAAGTAGCCATACACTTCTGCTCTTGCACTTGTGCATTCTTTAGATGAAATACTAAAATTAAGGACAAAGGGTTGTGTGCCTTAGGGGGCATACTCTATTTTCCCTTACTGTTGTTTTTAGGAGAGCAGATTAACCCCTGGGAGCTGAGAGCTATGGGTTCTTTCATCCTTGTACTATGTTTTGTATTCAGTGACTAGAAGACTTGGTCATTTTACACGATCTAAATTTGTTTTGTTTTGAGAAAGAGTCCTTGCTGGCCTCGAACTCACAGAGGTCCATGTGCCTCTGCTTCCCAAGCACTGGGATCAAAGGCATGTGCCACCACTCCTGGCTACCATTTGCCCTTATGTTACTGACCTCTAATTCAGTTTCATCTGCTGTGTCACCTACTAAGCGTGGAGTAGTGTGGACACATCATGGAGGCCTGGCTTCCATCACTCCTGTCTTCATTTCCCTAGGACTGCGGCGGTCTTCTGTCTGAAGGAGACAACCAAGGCTGCTACCCCTTGGATGGACACATCCTCTGCAAGACCTGCAACTCAGCCCGCATCAGGGTGTTGACCGCCAAGGCAAGCACTGACCTGTAGAGTCAGTCGTCCGCTTAGCAGCTGAGTGTGTGCACTGAGAAGAATGAACCACAAGAAAAAGATAAGAGAAGAAATAGAAAAATAGAGGCAAAGCTCTCAACCTCTGAGATGGTCTCTGTTCTTCATCTGCTGTTAACCTTTTCTTTAGAAGCACATACATGATGAGATTTGTTTAAGTTCCTACCAAATACACATTTCACATTTAATCATGTAGGGCCTTGATAAGCCTTTGTTGCAAGGACTTCCACATTTTTGCACAGATTATGCCCCGTCCCGTTCACTTCTGCATTCCTGTAACTTTTAATCCCCGTGTCTGTCTCACTTTTCATCTGGTTGAATAGATTTTTGGTGTGGTATTTGCTGTCACATGATTTTTCCTGGGTGAATGTGCCAGCCTGCAGGTGCTGTTTAGCATGACCTCTCATCCTGTCATTTTCACTCTGATTGTGGCTGCAAAAGTTAGCCGTTCGTTCTGTTGCCATTGCAAAGGTGGATTTTCCCATCACACTACACTGCTCATGTCTCCTGTTAAAAAGCAAAGTGGGAAGGGGTATGTGCACATTTTTTTTCTGTTAGGCTATAAAGAATTTATTTGGAAAAAAAAACATAAATTAACAGGAGCCCAAATTTAGTTTGCAGTTATCCAAATTCAAAATCTGTAGTGCCCAGTGATCAAGGCTCATTTGAAAATGTTTATTGGCCAATAGCTAAAATGTGGTAAAAGAACCAAATTTCACTTACTGAGCTCAAAAAGTCAAGTGGGAAATGCTAGCCAAAGGGTTGCTTTGTGTATTTGAAAAGCCCGTTATGTTTCAATAATTCTACCTTGAGATTTTCCTCTCCACACCATCTGAACATAAAACAGACAGACTTGTTTTTGGTACATTTCCAATTCTGTCTGACACTTCATCTTAGAAATACCATGAATTTTCCCCTAATATACAAGCATGGTTACCACAATTAGCATTTATCTATAGAAAGGTATGTATTAAAAAAAATCAAATTCTTCTCTCTCTCTCTCTCTCTTTTTTTTTTCCTGTACTTTTTATAATGACCCAAATCTGTGTTTTTCCTGAAAATTGCAAATTGGGACACATAAAATGAAGTTATGTAACCATGTTTTGTCTTTAAAAAAGAAAGAAAAGCTGCAAAAGATTTTGAAACCAGAGTTTGATTGTTCTTATAATCCTTTTCCAACTCAAGTACATATTGCAGGAGACATTTTCCTATCTTCAATGTGACATTTACACCACACTCTCAAAGACAATCACGGAAAACAAAATTGTCTTTCTGAGCTAAAAATATGCAGAATGGCTGCCTAGAATCTTCATGCGAACTCTTATTAGCCAGTGAAATGCTTGCTTGCCAACTGGAGCCTGTTTGCTTCTTTGAGAAGGAGACACCTCGCTTAGCAATTGCAGCTGGCCATTTTGTAAACTCAGTGCTCCATATCCTGGGATGAGATTTCACAAACCTTTCTTTAAATCTTCTACAAATATATACTTTTAAATTATGGAATACTTTAAATATACAGAAGGGTGTAAACAATAATATAGTGAATCCCTCTGTAGCTAATACCTAGTCCTAGAAATACAGTCACCTTAAATCCCACACATACCTTCTAGTTTCTCTTAAGTGGTGCTGGGAGTTGAACTAGGGCCTCGTCCTTGGCAAGCACCCTGTTACTCCTGCATCCCTAGCCTGTCTGAGTCTTTTTTTTTTTTCTTTCTTTCTTTCTTTCCTTTTTTTTTTTTTTTAATCTTCATGACATGATGATCTTCTAGTCTGACAGTTTTAATTTTAACGTTTAGAACAAAAAAATTTTTAAATTACTTGTGTATGCTTAAAATTGCATCCTATGCCTCAGGAATTCCATAAAGTTTATTTTACTTGAATAGAAGTCATCATAAAAGTGATTAGAAGAAAGCTCTAAGCCTTTGTCGCTCAGCTCGGCTGGGTGTATCTGTGGCTTATTTACTTTCCTTGCTAAGCAGTTTGCATGTTAGACTCCCCAAAGCTATGAATTTCAGGGCTTCCTCTACTGCCTGCTCTTACCTGCTTCCCTTCTCTTGAGATTCATGGAGGGCAGCTTGTGGATTTCAGGATATGGTGGTAGCTCTATCCCTGAATTCCTGTGTTCCAAATCAAAGGCTCGGCTGTGCCAGTGACCTTGGAGTACACTGGCTGTCAGACAGTCGAGGTAGCAATACAGTCTGCTTGAACTGCCTAAAATGTTCACTGGGAAATATTTCAGGAAATTGTCTTTATGCCAAAAATAGAGTCCAGTTTAATGAGGGCAGGAATTATGTCTAGAAATGCAGTAATATTGCTATAAATTTAGGCAACCAGAGGAAGAATATATGTAATATTTATACTCTCGAGCAATAACATCCTACTTGTTTGTTACTTTTAACTACTTGTATAACCAGATGTTTACATGCAGAAGTTATAGGAAAATGCTACCACAGTTTCTTCCCTGAGGTTTTACAGGCAGAGCTCTATCTGCTCTGCTAACAGCCTTCCCAATGCTTTCTCATCAAGTAACCTCAGAGTATCTTTACCAAAGATTTTTAAAAGTGAATTTCTTTTTAATATAGACTTATACTTTTATAATAACGAATGTGCACAATCACATATACAGAAATATTTAGAATTAGATGTTTTTCTTTCACAAGGTCTAATAAGTATAAAGGATCCTACCACTTTATTCAGCAATTTCTTTAATATATGATTTGCATTGCTTTCTTGTCTTCTACTGCACATTTGATTTAAACAATACCAAGCCACTCTATTCTGTACTCTTTTAGCTATATAAAGTTTTGCCTACTGTAGAGATATAAAGATCATATTACTTTAATGATTATACACATTGTCTTTTGATATATTGCCTTACTATCATTTAAATACATAAATAGAAAAACTATAATGTCTGTAACAGAAAACTTGTAAAATTATATCTGAATTGTTTAAAAATTGAAAGCACAAACACTTGGTTGTTCTGTGTAAAGTAAAATACATAGGAAAAGGAAAAAAACCCACTATCATGGGCTTTGCAGAGAACATTTCAAAATAAGATTTCCTTTCTATTTCTGTAGTGGTGGAGATGGATCTCTGAGCTTTGCATAAAATAGACAAGTGCTCTACCATAGAGCTGAACCTCCCATCCAGAAAAAGATTTTATAACTGTTTAGGTTCCCATCTCAGTCTGCCTCAGTCTGGAGTTAGGCAAAAAAAAAAAAAAAAAAAAAAAAAATGCCTTTAAAACTCAAAAATATTTCCTAGCTCAAGGCCTCCACATTAGTGAAATATTGTCATCTCTGCAGCTCAAAGATGTGGTTTTTTTCCTTTCACTAGCATGTTGTTATCCCTGTTACAGTGACTTCTCTGATGAAAATGACTACCTGGGTTACATGCTGATTAATGAAATGAACTTAAAAACACTAATTGTCTTCTACAAAGTCTGCAGAAGTGTCTACGGTGAGCTTTTAAAAGACCCGGACCTTCATGATGAATAACAGCTGTTTTGTAATTGGGTCCAGGGGAAGGAGAACATGCTCTCTGTGAGGCTTCTGTAGAGCATTGATAGACCACAGACAGGACTCTGCAAAGACAACTGCCAACCACCTTCCTAGTTACTGCAGATCCTATTAATGTGAACCAGTCAGGAATAACAGCGTTGTTTCTCTTTGATATGGTTTGGGCTTCCCCTGTCAGCTCTGTGTCGGTTGCCCCCTGATCCTTCCATTATCGAGTTTTGAAGGGTGTCGGGAAAATTATGGCAGCTGCTAGGGAGATCAGGGAAACACTGATGCCACCTCCCAGCCTCTCACCATCCCTCTTGGCTTGGAAAGACATTTTTTTATATATACATTTCTAGAAATATTGCCATTCTACCTTAGTATTTCACATTTGTGGTTTAAACAAGTGATTGTCCATCTGTTGCCTGAAGCTACAGTACATGTGTGTTATGAATGAAATATGACAGCATGTTCCATACCCCTGCTTCAGCCATCTGTAGACAACCAGCAACCGAAAAAGATACCTCTGCAAAATGTGCCTCGAGTCCATGTCCTGGGATGGCTCGACTGTGCACTTTCATCAGAGACAATCAAAAGCAATCTATAATTGTGCCTTATTTTTAAATAATCTGTTTACACTACTATGACTATTGTTCAGTAATAGAAATACTAAACCCCAGATCTCAAAGATAGATCGAGAGGTACAGAGCTGCAGCACTCTTCATGTATTTCTTCAGAAAAGCCTCATAGGTAAGAGAGCATGCTCATAGCTGACATGTTAGGTGTTGGAAGTGCTGACAATTTGATCTTCCTCTTGCTTTACTCAGATAATAAAGACAGACACTTGAGTCCATAACACCCATTCAGCACACACATTTTTAAATTGTATTATTTGTTTGAATTAATAAGGACCAGTCTTTATTATTGAGCAAGTTATGATTGTGCTACGACCATGAATATATCAGGGCAAGTTAGTTAACTGGCTGATAATTGGAATGGAACTCTTATGGTGCTGTAGGTATGGTTAGCATAGCTTTGTTTCAGACCTTTTACAATTAACCTGGCAAAAACTACTGTGATTTAATGCAAGTATTTAGCCCCGTGCTTTCTCCTCTCCTCTCCTTCCCCCTCCCTTTATTCCTTCATTCCACTGTGCCTACTACACTGCCCTAGTTGGCCTGTTTCATAAGTCTAGTTAGAATACCATAACATTATTATCACATTAAAGGAGAAAGACTACCAGAACATATACTTGCCACCCAGAAAAACCTGCTTTTACAGGAGTATGGTCTTTAGGTTATGTTTACTCCTAGAAGGCGATGAAGTCTTCAGCTATATTTTAATGAGTCCTTCTTGAAGACTTTGGTAGTAGAGTCCTTCCTTTAAAATGGATCTAGTTTTTGCACCTATGTATATGCAAAGGGATCTTTCTAAAGCTAGACTTGGATTTGTTTTTAACTAAAAAACATTTTGACCACAAAATACTCATATTTTTAGTGATAGAAAATCATGTTGTCTCATTGAAATTAACTTGATAATTTCCCTTTTGGCAAGGGGAAACTATTAACTTTCCCAATCTTAAACA